TTAAAAAAAAAATTGAGATTTTGTTCATTATTCTGTTGATTACAGAGTTACTTCTTTTTAATTGATATGAATATTTTGAAGAAAATGTTATATGAAGTGAATGTACGTTCAGTTGTTGTGTTTCGTGAAATTTGATTAGGCTTTCAGGCTATCAAAACATTTGCAAAGAGTATAAACTCATGTAATATTTCTGAAAATGTTATAAATAATTTAATCAAAAAAACGGTCTAGTATATGCTGTTTATATAAATGCTACAACTAAAATTATAAATAGGGTAGCCCTTGAACGTATAAAAAATGATATGAAATGTCTCTATTATCATTGCATCACAACTACTGGCACGTGGCAAAAGAGCGGGTACTCGTCTCTTAATAGAGTCACGGCATCATTGATTGGTAAAAAGTGCATGGACCATGCAGTTCTTTTAAAACATTTGAATGCTTGTTAATATTGTGAAAATAAAAATAATAGTCCTTAGTATGATAAATGGCGTGTTAACCATATATGCAACACATACTATAAAGAGTCTCCTGTAGGAGACTCTTATGGTACCAGGTAATTCCATCCAACCATGGTTCGATGGAGTTATCTAGATGGTTGAACGCTCCGTAGCAAAGTATAATTATACATATAAAGACTATCTTGGAGAAAGTGACACTTTATCATTCAACGATATTGTGCAAAGTGACCCATATAGTATTATTTCTATAAAGTTAAAAGGAATCAGTCATGTGTAAAAACGTCTTGGTACTCGCCTCAGAAATCTTGTTTATTTAAACAAAAAGACACCTGTCTGCATAAAAAAGGTAAACTTACAGAATCAGTAATAAACTCTCTCCAAAACTATAATAGTTTAGCAATTAAAAACAATATTCATAGTTTGTATGCTATAAAGAAAACAGTTTGGGCAATATCTTTTCACGGCGCTAAACTTGATGATCAAGAATACCAACATAAAATTATAATAATATTGGTGAAAGGGTGAAATCTGTTTTAATTTACTTTTTAATGTTAGGATCAGTGACTATTTCCAAACTGGTTTTATAAGACCAAAAGCGAATTGTAAACAAACGTCGTTAATCAACTTCTGTATGCAAAAAGTGAAGAAAAAAAGATCTTTTCATAAGTGATACTTAGATACTGAAAAAACAGATTCTTATAGCTCTGGTAACTTTTAAGGAGTGTTTATACTATAAACACTCCTTAAAAGCTACCAGAGCTATAAGAATCTTTATATGACAGATTTATATAGCTCTGGTAGTTTTTTCCCAAAAACTACCAGAGCTATACAACTCTGTCATATTAAACGGTTTATATTGGTTGTGAAATAAAGTTGTGAAATAAAGTTGTGAAATAAAATTTAAGTTTAAGTTTAAGTTAAGCAATTAAGCTGAAATTTTCAAAATAATATTGTTAAGTATGATGATGTATGTTTTTCCTTGTTATTTTGTTATGGTCATTTAATTCGGACCGTAGAGAAAACTTTACTTCTTAACAATATTTTTTCCCGCTTCTTTTATATTTTCGAAATGCGTAACAGTACAATTTACAAAACTTTTAAAAACAAAATAAAAAATTTGGAGAAATTAAATTCAATAAACAAAAAAAATAAGGCTCTGGAAATGTGTAAATTAAAAGTGTAGATTAAATAAGCAATAAATATGATAAAGTTTAGTTGACCTTTTGCGAAGCAAAGCCTGGACACAAAAATCCAAACAACCCGACAGAAAAGATATATATGACCCACATGTGGCCGTAGTGCTTACAAGTGGAATAAAAGTGTAAAACTATATTCCATTTGATGATTGGTAAATATGCTGATAATCAATATGGCACACATAATTATTCCACTTAGTGTGATGTAATCCTTAAATAAATACGTACTAAATTGTAACCTCTAATTTTATTGCAATGCATAGTAGTAAACTCTAAAATATTCCATGTTATTATGTGGTTTTAATAATTTTCTATTCATAGTTGTGAGTATGTTAAACGGTTGTGTAATGAATATAATTGAGAATTGTTATTCAAAATAAACTTTTAATAAAATTTGTAAATCAGAGTTATATTTAACGAATAAAATTTTGTTGTTATACTTAACGAGTTATACTTAAGTTATACTTATCCTAAACAGAATTATACTTAACGAAATAAAACTGTAATCAGAGTTATTCTAAACGAAGATAAAGAATATTTTAATACGTCGTGTGGGTAAAACTAAATTCTAGTCAGTAAATCAAGGTTTCTAGTTTTTTATAAAATCATAACGAGAATATTATAAATGCTTAAATATTGAATTTGTTTTTAATAGTGATAGGTCATAACAAATTTTTCTATTATATATTAAAAATAATTATTTAATATAATAAACATAATAAGTTATTTATCTATCGAAAACTATTATAGGAAAACGAGTATAAATGGTTTAAATAAATTTAAATAACTCAGGTTTTGTTTTTACAAAAAACGCAAAACCTGTATTGGCTTATTAGAAAAAAAATATCGACCACGTTGGTTTGCTACCAAAACAACGTTAGATTTTAAAATAGCGGGCAGAGTGAGCAAGCTTTTGTTACTATTGATTTTTTCTTTCTAATGATTTTGTTTTGATTTCGTATAAAACCATCTTTAGCTACTGTTCGAAAACATTGTTAGAGCGCTAGATAAAGAACTTGAGAAAAATATTGCGTCATTATTGCATGATTCATAAGATTAGTTTTGTCTACAGAACTAATACAGAACGAATTTTTTAGATTTAATTAAGGAGAGTAGTAAATATATGATTAACATGCAATTCCCATATATAGCCAACATGAAAGTTTCTTGTCGGGACATAGACAGTAAAAGTAAGACGGAAAATACACTGTAAGTATGCTTATAGGCATATGTGCTATAAGACAAAAACACATATCTCATAAGCAATGTTAATTCATCAAATTGCTTATGATGTTTGCACCTTCTAACATCGTGTGCAATATCTGTAAGTTTTTGTTAAGCCATCTTTCTAACACGGCTACTTCCAATTTTTACTCTAAAATATCTTTGTTCTTTGCAATCTCATTTTGTTCTTGGTCCGTAGAACGGGTTGTGGCGATTCTAGGGGATATGAACTTGTCTTTGCGGGCCTAGGTAATGTGGCATGTGAGGATAAACCACAATACCCTATGCTGTAAGACAAAAAAGGTATGTGTGCTAAGGTTGTTTATAATAAACGTATAATTTCTAAAGGAATTTCTTTTATATATATATATATATATATATATATATATATATATATATATATATATATATATATATATATATATATATATATATATATATATATATACATATTTTTTTTTTCTTTTTTTTTGCCGTGTTATTATATACAAACTGTATCTTAATAACAAGATATATATGTAGCAGGATCGAGAAGAAGGCTAATATGTCTTATCGCCAAGCCGCTTAATAAATTCCGTAAATAAGTTTAATTTAAAAATAAGCATTTCCGTTGACAATATAAAATAAACAAAGGTAAAATTGGTAAAGTGATAAATAAAACATATTATTAAGGAGCAAAAAATAATAAGTAAAAAAGAACAACATTGCATGTTAAAACAACAAAAACATAAATAAATTTGAAAAGTCAAAAGTGCATTCAACTCAAGCGTTTCTAATATTAATAAACTCCTCATTTAGATCAATCATTAGGATAATTTGCTTTTTAGAAATAGTTTTGTGGTAGATTATTTTTTAGTAATAACTGTCTAAGTTTGTCTTTAAACTCTTTTAACTATGTAAGAATTTTAAGTTCAGATGTTAGTATTTTATTCCATGCCTTTGGTCCTCTATTTGAGATTGAAAACTCAGTTGCCGCATAATAACTTATGGGTTGTATGTAGTAGGGATGTACCGAAGCTTCGGCAATTTTGCCGAAGCTTCGGTTCGGCCGAAGCCATGGGCGTTTTTTGCCGAATCATTGTCTTTGGCAAAAAAATGGACATTACTAAGCTGGCATTCGACTGAGGAAGACATTTTTTAAACGTTCACACGTTGTCTGTTTTCCGAATAAAACGTAGTTGAACGTTCAAAATTCTTCTTTTTCTTTTCTTCTTCTAAGAAATTTAAATAAGCCTCTGATTTATACAGTTGCGAAAATTAAATGAATCCAGCAACGGCTTTTGGAGGTGGCAAGGCCGCGTGTAGGGCGGCCAAAAACGGCACGATAGCGAATAGAAAGTAAAGTTACTTAATGAAACACATTGATTTTTTTATAATCACTCAATATAAGCTGATTTAAGCTGTAACATTATAGTAAACTTTATATAATTAAATACCATAACCCTAATATTTAGTTATGATCACTCGAGCTTAGCAATAAAATTTATTTATGCATTAGTTGGTAGTAAAATAATGAAAAATTATTAAAATTTAATTTTTTTAGCATTTAGTTATTAGTTAGCATCAACTTCTAAAATCCGAGTTATGTTAAATTATATATTTTTTAATATTAAATTAAAATTAAAAATTAAACCTGGAAATAAATCTTCATTTAAAATTACTTAGATGTAACTAAAACATAGCGCACGAGAGTTAAGAGAGTTAACTATTCTCGAAATTTTTAAAAATCTATACAATAAGTTATTTTTAACGCACGAAACAATTTTTATTCAGAAAGTTTGTTTTACTAAGTCACAGACAGAACACAGAAAGACACTACACAGAAAGACACTACACAGAAAAGATACTACACAGAAAAGCACAATTGAAATGTAAGTCAATTGCGTTTGTTTTTGATTTTGTACGCTGGATCATTAGTAAAAGTAAATATACCTGCTCTACAAATATAGGTTAATTGGTTATTTACGACTTCGATTTTTTTTAATTCAAATAATATTTGAATCAAAAAATTGAACGAATATTGTTTATTTCAATATTATTAAAGGTAAGAAAATAATTAAACTTTCTATTTCAATTTTCAGAATTGTTATTATAACTTTAAGTTATCCATTAGCGCATTATGGCTACCTCATCGCGAAGTAAAAATCCCTTATGGAATTATTTTAAAGTGAGTGATGAAGATGTTGGCAAAGCCATCTGCATACTTAGCAAGAAGATTTTGTCTAGAGGAAGTAAAGACGCACACAACATGTCAACAACAAATTTACAAAACCATCTGAAAAAAGTACATTATAATATACATAGCATGATTCTTTCTCAGAAGAAAATTATTAACCACGAATCTTTACCAAATCCAAATGAAAAGTCTATAAAACAATTTTGCACTACTCGAACAATATGCTCAGATAGAACAAGCTCTGCTGAATCAGTGCAAATCATTACCAGCACTGCCACAGATGAAACGCAGGGAAGCTCGCGTGTGTCTAATAACACAATTGCCTTTTTTCAAAAAGCATCGACACAGGTAACTCAGCTAACTGTAGCTGAATTCATTTACTATTCAGTATTCATGATTTTGTGACTGGATGGGGGCATGTCTTGTCGAAAAATTATATTTTGTATAGAAAAATGTTAACTTAACTTATCTAAGCTTATAATATTATAATAAATGTACTGGTGAGGGAAGAAAGATACATACCTCTATCCGCCACTTAGATCCGTCGCTGGCCATTGTTAGTTACAAGTTGCTAAGTAATTTTTTTAATTCGTTGAATTTGTTTCAGGTCTCACTGCGGGAGATTTTGCAAATAAAAGAATTGTGGCAACTTGATAATCCTAAGGCTCAAGCTATTACCAAGCTTATTGGAGAAATGATATGTTTAGACTTGCAGCCATACTGTATTGTTGAAGATAAAGGTTTTACCCGACTTTTAAAGAATTTAGCTCCAAACTATACAATACCTAGTCGAAAGTATTTCTCCACAAAAGTCATTCCACTGATGTATGAAACCATAAAAGCCAAAGTAAAATATGAGCTTGATCAAGCAGATTTCTTAAGTTTAACTAGTGATGGTTGGACCTGTCAGCACACAATTCAATCGTATTACAGTTTAACAGCTAGATTTGTAACGCATGAGTTTACAGTTAAACATGTCATCTTACAAGTTACACACTTCCCTGAGTCGCACACAGGGCACAATATAAGTAAATTCATAAATGAAGCGCTACAATCATGGGAAATTCCCCATGAAAAAATTCATGCAGTTTTAACTGATAATGCAGCCAATGTAATGGCTGCCATTAAAGAGTCAAATTTAAGCGATAAACATCTTCCATGTCTGATACATACTTTACAACTTTGTATTCAGAAAAAGATTTTTAGAGAACAAAAAACAGCAAGTGATACAATAGCTGTTTTTCGAGCATTAGCAGGACATTTCCACCACTCATCTAGTGCTGTGGCTAAACTAAAGGAAATTCAAAGTCAACTAAAATTGCCAGAGCATAACATAATTCAAGATGTTTCCACAAGATGGAATTCGACATACTATATGCTTGAAAGATTCATTGAGCAGAAAAAAGCTATTACATTGTATTGCATTACCAGAAATCAAGCAAATGCAAAAAATCCTACGGAAAATCAATGGCAACTTGCTGAAATGCTTGTAAGCATATTAAAACACTTCGAAAGTACTACAAAAGTCATGAGTAAAGAAACGGCATGTATATCAGAGATTATACCATTTATCTATGCAATGGAAAAGTTTCTAGACTACGCTTGTGACACGGCAACTGAAATAAAAACTGTTGTTGATGAACTTAAGAAAGATTTTAACTGTCGTTTTCAAAAATACAAGGATAATGTTGATTTAAAAATCGCGATGATGCTTGATCCTCGTTTCAAGTTAAAGTTTGTTGAAGACAAGAATCATAATATGTTTAAAGAAATACTCCATTTAGAGTTCTACCGCTTTTGTTCCAAATCTCATTTAGAACAAGTAAAAGAAATTGAATTTGGTGTAGCAAGAGGTAGTGGATCAGACTCAGAAGAATCATTAAGTTCATTTTCAGAATCTAAAATTCATGAGTCCGACTCAGATTTTGATGGCCATGGCTCTCCATTAAAAAAAAAAAAAACTAATGAGCATGGACATATATAGCTTGTTCCACCAAATCGGTGCAAATGAGTATGCTCTACAAAATTCAGAAAATTCTGACGGACGGAGAAAAAAGAAAAAAAACACTAGTTCAATGGGAAAAACTCTAACTGTCAAAGAAAAATGGTAAGAAAACAGAATCTATTTATGATTTTTATATTGTTTATACATTAAATATTAAATATTTTTTCATTTCTATTCTCATTTTCCATTTTTTTTATTTCAAAAGACGGATAACAGCATTCTTTTATTTTGTTTAGTTGATTAAATTGTAATATTTTAAAAATTTAAACCTAAAATTATCACCTATATTTTATGTATCAGCACCGATGAAGTCAACTTCTACTTGAGCCTTCCAATACTGCCAAAGAATGAATGCCCTTATAAGTGGTGGAGTGCATACCGTTACACTTCCTCTGATAAAGATACTTACAAGTTGAATTTGTCAAAGTTTTCAAAGAAAGTTTTGTGAGCGCCTGCTTCGTCTGTAAAAAGTGAACGCTTATTTAGCACATCTGGAAACATATTTGAAGCAAAAAGAAACAGACTATTACCCGAACATGGAGAACAGATTGCATTTTTAAATTGTAATATGCCTGCTTTCATTGAATAAATTTTTATTAACTAAATAATAGACTGTAGCTTCTTAGTTCAACTGATTCAACTTTTTAACAAAATTTAAAACAAATACCAAATTTTGTGTTCAAATTCAAATGATGACTACTTTTATATTTTTACATTTTACGTGTTTACATTTTTATAAATTCTTTCAAAGAATAGACCATAATTTACCTTAAGTATCAGTAAATGTCTAAGATTTAGTGATGTAATCTTTCCTATACCTGCTAGATATATAGAGTTAAGACTCTAAATTTCACTCTCTAAATTTTTGTACAAAATTTGTTTAAATTTTTTATAATATTGATTTTGTTTTATAATTTTCCTAAAATGGGCATGTAGGCCAAAACATTGAAACCTAAAATATTGATATATAATTTTGAAAGCAACTTGATTATTCAAACCACCGTGGTGAAGTAAATTGAGCTTTAAATTACGTATAGCTTAAGCCGAAGCTTCGGCTTCGGCCGAAGCTTTGGCTTCGGCAAAGTGGCTTCGGCCGAAGCTTCGGCTTCGGCAAAATTGCAGCTTCGGTACATCCCTAGTATGTAGGTGTTACTTGATTGTCTAGTTAAGTATTTATTCTGATTAGTTTTACATAAGAGATCAAAAGATTTTGGAATAATGCATTTATTAATTTTGAACATAAAAATTAAAAAATGATAAATATTTATTTGGTAGATATTAAGTATATTTAACTTAGTAAATAAAGGTTGGGAGGGTATACTGCGGTTTTTATTGGATATAATTTTGATTGCATGTCTTTGCATATTAAAGAGTTTTTTTGATTTATTTTTATTAGTACTACACCATGCAATATTAGCGTAATTAAAATAGAAATGAATAAAGGAAAAATTATTAGAGTTTTAAACAACTTGAATTCAAAAAAAGTTTTGCCCTATAGAGTAAGCCAATGCCACTTGATATTTTACCTTCAATATATTTTATATGAATTCTCCATGTCACATTTTTGTCTAGAAGTACTCTTAGAAATTTTAATAATACCTCTCTTTTTATTTCGCAATTGTTAATACAAAGAGTTAGAAGTATTAATGGAATTTTGTCTCGATTATGATAGCGATGAAAAAAAGTATATTTTGTTTTAGTTAAATTTAGAGATAATTGGTTTGCTTTAAAATATTCAGCAAGTTATAGTAATTCTGTGTTTACAGTTTTAAATAACATTTTTATATCATTGTGAGCATAAAATAGATTAGTATCATCTGCAAACAAGATTGCGTCTAATACATTACAAGATTTGCTTAGATCATTGATATATACTAAAAATAAGAGCGGTCCTAGTATAGATCCTTGTGGTACTGCACAAAATATATTTATATTGTTAGTTTTTCCGTAATTTTGAGAAATATATTGCTGTCTATTTGACAGATAGCTTTTAAACCATTTAAGATTCAAGTGTTTAATACCGTAGTTTTTTAATTTGGTGAATAAAAAATGATGATTTACAGTATTAAAAGCTGAGGTCAATAAATACTCCTAAAGTATATTTATTTTCATCAAAAGATTTAAGAATATCATGAACAAGATAAACATATGCCTGATCAGTAGAGCGATCCTTTTTGAATCCAAATTGTTTATTATAAAGAATGTTATTTTTATCTAAGAAATAGTAGAGTCTTTTATACATAGTATGTTCTAATATTTTTGAAAAGCATGGTAGTATTGAAATGGGTCTATAATTTGCAATACATGTTGCATCTCCAGATTTTAGAACCGGCATCACCCTTGCAACCTTTAGTTTATCAGGAAAGATTCCTTGTTCTAATGAAAGACTGAAAATGTGCAGAAGCGGAGTTTTTAAATAAAATATTGATTTAATTATTATATTGCTACTTATATCATCAACTCCATTACCTTTATTTGGTTTTAATAAATTTACAGCATCAAGTCGTTCTTTTTTAGATAACTTATTATTTTTCATCTGATTATTATTAGAAGTTAAGTATGATTCAAAGATAATTTTACTAATTTTTATATTAGAGGCCAAACTTGGTCCCGTATTAACAAACGCATAATTGAAAGAATTAGCGATTAAAAAGTCATTAGTAGTTTCACAACTATTTATAATGAGTTTTTTGGGAAAACCATTAGTGCTTATGCTTTTTTTTACCTATCACCTCTTTCATTAAGCGCCTAATTTATATACGTATTTGTGCTTGCATATATCTTCGCGAGAGTGCTCGATGAATTAAAGTAAATTAAAATGATTTAAATTAAAACAGAGCTGTATTTACATATATTATTTATAAATAAAACTGCATATTTTTCACAACTATTAGTTTCATGCTAAATGCAATCATCAAGTGTAATTTTTTTTTTCTCATAAAAATAATAAATCTGTAGAAAAGAAAATGAGTTAAAAAAATCTAATCTTTTGGTTTGTGGTTGTCCAGCAAAAACTTGTTCTCATGGCGACATTTAGATATTAGTTCGTTTTTTTTGTTTAATAATTCTTAAGGATTTTTATACAATAAAATAGTTAGTTTTTCGTAGCCATTCCAGACAATTTTTTTATAAATAAAATATTATATAATTGACGTCATTGTATAGAGCTTGGTTTGACTTAAAAAATGAGGGGTCATTTAGCCTTTGAAGTTAAACGGATCAAAAGTTATTGGCCTTTTTGTAGTGAAAAAACGGGTGATTTTTTGACAAAAGGTATAGGGCTTAAGTAAGGAAAATTTACTGCGAAATGGCACCGAAAATGAGATTATTATTGGCATTTGAATAACTTTTGAACCGATGATACATTTGACTTGAAATTTTCCATAGTGACCAATTAACTATAAGAAAATAAAATTCCAAGTTTTTTTTTTTAAATCTGTCAGGATCTACTAGGATCACCTATTTTACAGACTGAGAGTTTTTACTAATTTCTATATTTTTGGGGTCATACTGACTTTTGAATAACTTTTGAATGGTTATTACTTTTGACTTGAAATTTTTCATAGTGATCGAAAAACTATAAGAAAATAAAAACCAAAATTTTATTTTAAAAAGTTTGTCGCGATTGTCCAGAATCATCTATTTTATAGCTGAAGGGTTTTATATTATTTTTTTAGTTTTGGAGAACAAAATTTGGGGTGATATTATAATTATACCATGTGAATACCATGTGAATATAAAGAATCATGGAATCCAAAAAATAAAACATTTGAAAATTATTGCGTAATTTACAGACCGGTCAGTGAAATAATCATATAAATTACTTTTCGGTCAGTAAATTGCTGAAAATGGGCTGTTCAAACAAATTAAACATAAAAACTTTAAATAATTTGTAATTTTTTTAAAATTTTGGATATTTTTGAACCGTTTTTACATTTGACTTGAAAATTTAAATAGTGATCCAGTTTTTATTAAATCTGTCGGGATTATCCAGAATTGTTTATTTTACAGACTGAAAAAATTCAGGTTATATTATAAAAACTCCATGCTATATTTATTTATTTTATTTATTTATTCTTTTTAACACCCAAATTACAGGTAAAAAAACAAATTGTATAAAACTAATAGTTTATACTTTTAGTGTAAAAAATTTAAATTTTTCTTGGGATGTTTTCCTCCATCAACTTAGTAAAACCAGTCTTTGTTCTCTGATATTCTAGAATTCAAAAGAATGGTTCAAAATTGCCGCTATATTTTCTCCTACGTCATCGTAGCAACGTTTTACCTTTATTTTTTCCCCCTCTATCAAACACTGCACGAAGTTTAGCTCAAGTTGATTGCAAATTTTTATTACTTCGTTGATAAATAGGTTATTTTTAGTAACATCAGATATCTGAGCCAAAATCAGGGAAAAACAAGTTGGATTGTTCCAAGTAGTCTGATAAACAGATTTAATTTGTTTCGAATGAGGATGGTA